TTAGATGATGACTCGGCTGGATGGAGGCAGGGCACAAAGTAAGGGGGTAAAGTCAGCTCCACAGATGTCATACACAGCTCTTGGGTGGCTGGTTATGTGATTGATCCTCATAGGATCTGTGAACAATCCAGCCTAAAGTTTAGCATTTGTCATTCAGGAGGTAACAAGAAGACCAAGGGATACAGGATTAAAGGAAAATGTACCCAGATAGATCTGAGTAAAGGAAACCTTAATGGGTTCAAGGCAGTGGATCTGATGAGTACTTCAGTAATTCAAATGTAGCCATCTTCACATTGAAATAATTAATCATTAGACCTGCTTGGCCACTTAAAAGCAATCTTTTTTTTTTATTTAAGATTTTATTTATTCATTTGAGACACACAGAGAGAGTGAGCATGAGAGAGAGAGATCAGGAGCGGGGTAGAAGGACAGAGGGAGAAGCTGACTCCCGTCTGAGCAGGGACACCCTGATACGGGGCCCTGGGATCATGACCTGAGCCCAAGGCAGACCTCTGCTTAACCACCTGAGCCACCCAGATGCCCCATATACCACTCTTTTTAAAAAAAATACTTACTTATTATTTGAGAGCGAGAGAGCACGAGCAGGGGGAGCAGCAGAGGGAGAAGGAGATGCAGACTCTCTGCTGAACAGGGAGCCAGATACAGGACTCGATCCCAGGACCTCAGGATCATGACCCAGTTACCCTAAAAACAACCATACTGAGTTTAATTTTTCCCATTTGAAATACAGAATCCTTTATTTTTTTAAAAAGATTTTATTTATTTATTCATGAGAGACACAGAGAGAGAGAGGCAGAGACACAGCAGAGGGAGAAGCAGGCTCCATGCTGGGAGCCTGACTTGGGACTCAATCCCAGGTCTCCAGGATCACGTCCTGGGCTGAGGAGGCGCTAAACTGCTGAGCCACCCGGGCTGCCCTATAGAATCCTTTAATAAAATAATACTTTACTCTGTAAAATGATGCCATTTGTCATTTGAATTTTAATAAGTTCTACTAAATAGGTGACAAAGCCCATTTTATTGGCATTCAGAGACTTCTGGTATTACAGGATAAAAAACAACTGAACTCAATATATGTGTCAGACTTACTTCTGAAATAAAATTATATATTCCAGCAGTGATTCAACAATAAACTATGTGGTATTGTCTGGATGTCAAGAACCATTTTAAGAAGTTGCTAATGCTTCTTTTAGGTGGCCAAGAGGAAGAATCTGAATAGAACTCTGACCCTAAGAATTCAGACTGTTCCCAACTTTCAAGCAGGTTGTGTTCCAAAAATGTTTGATCGTAAATGGCTTGTTTGGCACTTGAGCTACATCTCTCAGGAGAGGTGGCTACACAAATGGAAGTCCTGAGTTCAGTGGCTTTTTTTTTTTTTAAAGAATTTATTTATTTATTCATGAGAGACACACAGAGAGAGGCAGAGACATAAGCAGAGACACATCCCAGGGCCCTGGGATCACAACCAAGCCAAAGGCAGATGCTCAACCACCGAGCCACCCAGGTGCCCCAAGTCCACTGGCTTTAAATGAAGGAGGTGCCCCAGTGATAAAGAAGGAAATCCAGAGGTCTGAAGACAGGAGACAAAAGTTCTAGACGGGTCCTGAGGCATCAGGACAGGCCGCTCACAGGAAAGAAGTACAGTTCTTTGAGAAGACATAAATGACATCTTTCCAACTGTTCATATCTTTGGGCAAGTTATTTCATCTTAAATAGGAAAAATTATATCTACCTATACTGCAGAATTGATGTTAAATAAGTTGTTTCAGTCTGACATGTCCAAATTCTTTATGTCCTTCCAAACCTACTCCCTCCCTCTCTTCTTGCCTCAATCCTCTTCAATCACTCAGTTACCATATCCTATAGTTTTCTACCTCTAAAATCTTGCCTGAATGTTTCCATTTACCTCTCCCCCTTCCGCACCCTCATTGACCCAGCTACACCATTTCTCTGACCACAGGACTTGTAAATGTTCCATACTCCCTCCTGCCTAGACATCCTCCTTAGGTATATCTCCGGGCCCATTATTATTGTTCTCCCTTAATCCATTCTTGACGGGCAGGAGCTCTTGAGAGCTTTTAAAAATACAAATCTGATCTCCTGGCTCCGGCTTAAAATCATTCAAGAGCTTGTCATTGCCCTTTGGATAAAAATCAAATTCCATAACATGAATGTTAAAGCCCTGTATTATGGGACCCCTACCAACTCCTCCATCTTCATTTGTAAGACTTTTTCCCTCCAGCTCCATTTACCTGCCAGGCCAACTTCTTTAGGTCTTTTCAATGCACCACACTGCTCCCTCCCTCCCCAGGCGGAGCCACAAAACAGGTGCACCTCCCCCTATCCCCGCCAACACTTTTCCTTCATTGAGCCCTATCCTCTTTCACCTGCAAAATCCTATTAACACTTAGGTTGGATTTCTGTACCTTTCTGTAGGGTGTAGGGTGACTTTGATCCCATAGTTTATTAGGATTTCAGAGGCAACAGCCAAAACATCCCTCCTCAAAATACTTTATTGTGATTACTAGTTCAGTTATCTGATTTCCCTGCAGGCTAGCAGGCTGGAGCCTTAGGCAATGTGGTGGTGAAAAGTACAGATTCTGGATTCTCTTGGTTAGATTTGGGGCTCTTGTCTCCATATTTGCTGGTCAAGCTGCTTATCATTTTATGCTTCAGTTTCCTCTTCGGTAAATTAATATTGCCTGCCTCATAGTTACTGTGAGTATTAAATGAGCTTATATATATATATACATATATGTGTATATATATATAAACTATATATGTGTATATATATATGTATATGCACATAAGCTCATTAGTGCACATGTAAAAGGCTTAAGTGCATTAACTGATCCATAGAAAATAATTCTTTGATAAACTGGGATGCACATAGAATGGGCACTTACTAAATGCAAACGTGTTGCAGTTTTGCTTTTTAAAAAGGCTAAGGCTGTCATACTGGAGTCCACTTTCTCTTTTTCTTTGTTTTCCATTAGCTGTATAAAATTTGTGGATCAAAAGTCAAAAATGTCAATACTCAGCTTGCTTCCCCATTTACTTTCTCCCCCCAGTCTGGGTAGCATTTAGGTGTGATGTAGAGATGCAAAGTGGAGAAGTGGACCAACAAAATATTACTGTCATAGAACCTGTCTTTCTGTCAACTCAGAGGGATTTCTTGGCTTGGTAGTTGTAGGTTCTGCCTCTGCCTGCAGTTCCTTGGTTCTCTCTCGCCTGTGTCTGAGCCCTTCGCACAGAGGCCAAGGGCTGGCAGTCCGGCAAGAAAGAGGAGGCCTGAGCATCTCGCTTTCAACAAAGACAGGACTGTAGATTTGAATGCAAGCAAATTAAAACATTCTCAGCACTTCCTACTTCAATCTGTCCCCCCCACCCCCAAAATTGTTATTTGTTGTTGTTTAGAAGGCGTCACAGAATACATTTCAAAGGCCAGAACTACACAGTAGTGCAGCCTGGGTTCTGTGACCTTTTTTTTAAAAAAGGTCTTTAGAGAAGATGACAAAACAGGGAGCTTCCCACTCTCGTGGGCACTAAGTTTTTGTGCATACATTGTTGGTGAAAAACCAATAAACACTGTCCCAGGCCACTGAATTTTGTGAGGGCGTCCTTATTCCCAGGTAGTCACCAGGTTTTAGAAGTTATTGTCATTTTGATTTTCGGGTGAGTCACTGGGCCTCTTGCCCCCCAGGCACTTCATTATGATTCAGAACAAAGCCGGAGAGGGCTCTGGCTTCCGGGACTTACTGGTGTCGGGGGTGGGGGTTGCGGTGGCTCTGCTTTGGCATGAGGCTTAATTGACACCTTTGATGTAGCCTAAGACAGAACCCGCACCTCCCACTGCTGCTTGGAAGACGTCAGCCTTACGCAGAAAAGGCATCTGCTGATGAATCCTGAATCTCATTCAGCCTGCTCGGGGAGCAGCCTTAGCCATCCTTAACTAATCCAACGGCTTCCCAATTCCGCGGGTGCTGGGCTTAGTGCTGAGAAGGGATTTCGTCTCTTGCTATTGCCAGGTTAAACACTCAGACTGTGTCCATGTTAGAACTCATAGAAGGTAAGTTAAATGCATTCTTGCTCTCCTTCATGGAAAATGTTTATTATTGCTAATTCTCCTTCGTGGACTGTGGTTGTAAAACATGAGAAGATGTTGTCATGTGTGTGGGTAATAGAGTGGCAACCTTATATATCTTCTTATGAAGAAGTCCTGTGTCCAGAGTGTTTTGTCAGTTCTGGAGGTGATGTTACTCAGAGAAAGGAATTGCTTACTTGAGTTCTGTGGCTTTGACTGCATTTAGTGATAATGTTGTCTGAAAGTCTTCAGAGTCCGGGAGAATTCCAGTGATTTTAAACCTATCAGAAAGCAGCTTTTATTTTCAAGTAGCAATGAAGACAGACTGTAAGGAGTTCCTGAGTGTGTGCCAATTAGTTTGTCCTGCTGAAGGCAGGTCCTTCAGAGTTAGGCCAGAGGGATATGTAGGGGACAAGTGGATGCAGGAGCTTCTAGAAGGGAGTTGTTAACTGTAAAAAGATAGGGGTCTCTTTTAACAAGACACTGAGAAAATCACTTGGGAGCTGTGGAAATATTTACTCCTACTGGGTGGTTCTGGGAAGCTAAACTACAGAACGAAGGATGAATCCCATTAAAATGTCTCAGGACCTTCACCACATGGCTAAAACTATGGGCACAGTTAAAGGCACTGTTAATACATTCATCAGGAAAGTTATCAAAAGTACATTTTTCAGGATGTTCATGTAGCCTGATGGCTATATTTAACACAGGATTAGCAAGACAGTGAATTTCTGTGAAAATTATTCGCTGAAGCTGTTTTTTAGGACTACATAGAAAGGGTCCTGGAATTTTAGCAAAAATCGCTCTATAACTGCTTGTTTCTCTGCCAAGATGATTTGTCATGAAAAATTTTTAACAAGCCATTTTTTTTTTCTCTCTGATTCTTTGCTTCCAGTTAATGGAACCCCTGGTAGTCAGCTGTCTACTCCGCGCTCGGGCAAGTCGCCAAGCCCATCACCCACCAGCCCGGGAAGCCTGCGGAAGCAGAGGGTAAGGATCTTAAAAGCAAGCTCCTTGTTTAAGACCTGCCTGAGCTCCCGGTGCAGAGTGACCCAGGTGCCAGCTCCCAAGAGCACTGCTTGTCTCTAAGTAATAACCAGGTGAGGGCAGGTGGGCTATGGCTGTGGCCTCTCTTAGCTAGAACTCAGGGCTCTTTTTTTCTCTGAGTTTGTCCGAATCTTGACTCTGAGAAGAATTAACAGTTGCTGCCTCACTTTTAAATACCCCACCTCTTTTTGTTCTGAATGGACCAAGACTTTATTGGCACTGGTTTGGAAGCTTCCTTAGTTGTAATGAGGTTATTAGATCTCATTGCTGACCATCAGCCTTCCTTAAGAAGGAAAAGGAAAATGGGGGTTATGGTGGGGGATTGTTTTATGGCACAGAATGGTGGTCCAGAGCCGCTTAGGGTCTGTGGCACCGAGGATGGATACATGTGACATGTGTTTTTGTGAATGAAACCCACATCAAGTGCCTTCTCTTTCATCACTATGTGCATTTTGGTGGGGTTTTTTTGTTGTTGGTTTTTTTTGTTTTTTGTTTTTTGTTTTTTTTTAGCTTCTTGTGTAATACTAGAGAAGTATACTGAGCTTGGAAACCAAGGTCAAAAAGTTACTGGAAACAGCGTTAGCTTCTCCATGCTCAGGAAGGGGGAAGAACTACTGTTCTTATCCTCTCAAAACCTGTACTGTCTGTCTTTTCTAAGTAATACTACAGCAGGAATAAAAGGGGTGGGAAAGGGAAGAGAAGAAGGTGCTGAGGAGGGAAGCGAGGGCCTTTTACTGTCCTGATTTCATGAGCGAGGTGGAGAGGAATATGTGCTCTTAGGAGGCTTTATGACGGTGCTTACTGTACATTTTAATAATAAGCCAGGGCTCCTTGGAGGCTTCTGAACTCAAAGACTAGATTCTTAGTTTGGTTTCTTTTATTATGCTTTAAAATGAGACTTCTGAGTTCCATAACTTTAAACTGCTTCCAAGATGGAAGCTCTTCCCTTCAAGCTTCCTGCAAGGTTGCATCCGCATGCCCCCATCTAAAAGCAGGGGGCTGGGGACTCCATCAGACCCGGATCCCTTTGGTACCTGGCCCACCACGTATCAGCTTATGCTGTCTTTCTCCATGGAGCCTCCTGGCATCAGGTGTAGTTGGTTTAGATTATTTGATGAGGCCCGGGTTTGGCACCAACTCCTCCACTAAAAGGCATCCAGTCTGCTATCCTGAGTCTCAGTTGGAAAAACAAGGCAAAACAAGAAAGAGGCTCCTTCCAGATAGGAAATCCAATAATTCTGTTCCATCTGAGTGTTTTCACTATGGGTTTCTTGTTGGCCACAGTCTAATTTTGCATTTTATTTTTTAAGATTTTATTTATTTATTCATGAGAGACAGAGAGAGAGGGGCAGAGACGCAGACAGAGGGAGAAGGAGAAGCAGGCTCCATGCAGGGAGCGTGACGTGGGTCTCAATCTGGGGACTCCAGGATCAAGCCCTGGGCTGAAGGCGGCGCTAAACCACTGAGCCACCGGGCTGCCCTAATTTTGCATTTTAAAGTACAGGAATCAGTAGTGAACTTCTAAAAGAAGAATTGGCCAAATTCATATGATCCCCTAAGTGTCTATACTTCAGTTGGGGAAGGTGTAGTAGGGTGTTTCATTTCTAGAAAAGTTACCCCCTTCTATAGGAGCAGTCATATATAGCACAGATAGTGCTCTTTGAGAGAATAGTCTCTATTTTGAAGTGTATACTTTGGAGAATACACCTGGCATAGTAATCCCCCTTCATCCTTTGAACAAATTAAACTCAGATTCAGGCTTTAGCTCATACTTAGTTGCTAAGACTAAATTATGGTGACTGAGAATCCCTGCCATAGATTTGAGCTTCTCTCCCTGTTTGCGTATCATGGAGACCTCCATGGGTGAGAATATAAAGTGCTTTGCCCAACTGTCCCTTCATTGGCGGAATGAGGGTAGATTTTGCTTCTTCTGCCCTCTGTATTCTCTGCATCACTATAATTTTGTCCCAATGAAGCAGAAAATTTCTCTCCAGTGACTAGCAGCTGTGTGGCCAATGGCTTCTATAATTAACATTACCAGCACTTGGGAAATGATTATAAAGAGTGGCTCTCTTGTAGATTCTTCACTGCATCATTTAAACTACCAGTGCAAGCATCTACTTGAGAGGGAAAATAATCCCATTTGTTTCAGGGAGACAGAGGCTTATGGTCATCTGAAAACATTTATTAAGCACATGTTGTAAGCAGAGCACTGGATAATTCAGAGATGGTTCAGTTTCCAGGCTTTTAAATTTAGGCCGTAAATGAACATCCTCCATCCATGTACCATGTCAATGCATGGAGACATTCCCAGATGCTTTAGCGAGAGAAGCTTTCATCTTGGTGTGGAGGCAACTGCATCAAATAACCCCTCCCAGTTAAAACGGGCCTAGCATATCCCTAAAAACTGATCCTGTTTCAAATTTGGTTAATGTTCTTCTCAAATGGTTGGCTATACTCCTATGCAGGAAATACTGAAATAAGTAAAAGATGGTAAGTGCTAAAAGAAGATACTTCAAAGAATAAATTAACTCTTTTTATTACAAATTGGAAAACAGTAGCTAGTTCTATTTTTCCTTCTGTGTTGCCTAGCAACATGGCCAGGAAAATGAGTTGGCTGTGCCCCCCAGCACACTCAGACACACACACACACACACACACACACTTACACTGCCTACCTCGTTTAAAAAATAGGAATGTATTTCTTTAATTTTTAAAGGAATCTTGATACATTTGACCATTTTCTTCACAGGAAAAATCTATATTCCTATTTATGTGAATTATGATGATTTAATCAGCTTTTTCCTTCCTTTGAAATCATATTTTGATGTTACAGCTCTTGGTATTTTAGAATAGTCATATGCAATAAGAGTCTGCATGCCAGTTAGTTTTCTTCATAAAAGCATTGGTGGCAATGTACCAAACAACCTCCCTATTTTTTCAAAACACTATTATTTAAATTGCTGTCTAGAAGCATTTAACTGATCACAGAAGCAGATATTATAGGATCTTTTCTATCCATGAACTTCGTTTTGGTCTTATTTCTTAATACATCAGGAAGAAATGTACTGTGCTGTGTAGGTTGAATGAAGCTCCCCATTATACTCCCACAGGGCTGACTTGTGTAGATTATCTGATCAGTCAGATGATGTGAGATGTGGGTGGTACAAAATAGAAAAGAAGCCAGAATTATAGACCGTCTGCAGATCTGAGCCGGTTGCCTGGCTACCAACTGAGAGATCTCCTAGCAGAAAAGGCTGGAGGGAGGAAGTAAAGAGGTGATTGGCGAGTGGTTGGAGAACCGGAAGACCATTGGGAAGGGAAGGGGAGGTCAAGCGTGCATTTTTTCTGTTATCTAAATATAAAATTTTGAAAAGGCAGTTTTTATTGGGTTTATGCGATATGCAGTGCAACAACATTGGGTTGCTGCTCTGTGACCAGAATTTGCTAAATGCCATCTGGGGTTCCTGACAGATTATTTTGTGAGGTAAGCACATTTCTTGTCTACCCAGAATGGGAAGGAAATGTTCAAGGAGGAATTGCCTAGACACATAGTAGTGGAGTTGGCATCCATAGACCTCAGGATTTATAAAACTCAACAGGACACAGAAAGGGATAGCTCAGAAGCAGTTCAAGCCAGTTAGGCAAAATAAGCACTATTTTTGTCTGTTTCAATGGTCTCTCAGTTATTATCTTTCCTCTTACCCAAAACTGAAGACTCTAAAAGGTCTGATGACATTAGAAACCAAGGATGCTCATTCATTAGTGCTCCACTCCTAAGAGAGCCACAGGGCACCCAAGAAAGCCAAGTAAACAAATCTATACCGCCCTTCATCTTACAGGACCTGTATCGCCCCCTCTCTTCGGATGATTTGGATTCAGTAGGAGACTCAGTGTAAAAGAGAAAATGGAGCAATGTATATGGTTTGTGATTCGGTGAAGGTGTTTCACATTTCCTAAGAAAAGTCTAACAGCAAAATACACAAAAGAGTTTTGCATACCTTGAAATTATGAACTCAAATTATATAAAAGTAAATACACAGGAATTTTATATTCATCACATTAATCCTTGAAGATTTATATATATATATATATTATATATATATAATATATATATATATATATTATATATATATATTTCCTACATTGATTTGGTTGGGGAGCTCCATTGCTGAGGTTTCTTTTGCAAGGCCTGGCTTTAGATGAATTTCATATATGGACCCAATATTGAGTGTAAGAACAAGCTAATGATAGAGCAATATAAGGCAATAATTTCTGCAGATGAGGTTTTCATTTAATCATAAGTAGACATATAGATACAGTTTTCCTATACTCTTGGTCAAGGGAATTAAAATGGTACTAGCAGACATTTTTTCTTAAAGTTATATTCTTTTTAAAGTTTGGATTGCTGATTTTTTAAAGATACTTTATTGCAAAATAATAAAAATATTCAAGTTTTTTTTTTCTTCCTGGCCAGTAGACACGGCTACTTACCATTTTATGGGTTAAAATATCTGAGAAAAAACACTTGTGTCAAGGACACAGCTCATGAAGACTCTAAAATTAGGCATTAGGAACTTTACTTGCTTTTGTTGTCAAGTAAATTTTTTTAAACTTACCTTTCATTGGAAGCAACATAAATATAGCTTAAACAATATACCAACATGAAGAACTTGTTCAGTGGCATTGCGATAAATTACATAATTCCTCCCTACAACCATATATGTAATTTTTCAAATGTGAAAAGGCTGAAACTACAAAACTTTTTTTTTTTTTTTTAACACACAGACCTAAAAAAATTGTGTCTGGATTTCTTCTAAGAAGAAACAATTTAAAGGAAAAATTCTCTTAAATGGTGCTATGCAAATCAGACCCCAAATATCCAAATTGCCATTCAGAAAAGTCCTGATGTTGTAGAAATTTTCGTATGCAAAACTCCTTTT